ACACATTTGGTACAGGCCCACCTGCAGCCCATGGTGCGCATGGAGCACTTTCAATGAACAACGTTCTTTGATGATGTTTCAAGAAATCCAAAGGGCAAGACACGAGCATTTGTATCAACTAGCTCTAGGTATAGTACTCACGAGAATCACTAGGATGATGCAAAAAATCACCTCCACTGGGAACAACCACGAAAATCCCTGATGTTCTGTTTGCCGTTGTTGCAAGAAGTGTTCTCATATACCCAGGAAGCTCATTTTGACATGCGCCGTGTTGGTGGGCTTGCATGTCCAGACACCGGAAAGCCCATACAGAAGAGCATGGCTGTCATCCCTGCAAGTGTTTGAAGCTCTGCGCGGACGCCTTTGCCAGCGAGATCATGAGCATCGTGCAATCGAAGGGACGGTCAACCCCTGAAGGTCGAGTCACCTGTAGTGCGTTCACTGAAAGGTATACTCGCAAGTTCGCTAGGCATATAGCCAAGACCACTGAAAGTCACGCAGGAAGCCATCGTTCCAGCTTTGGCGTCGCACGACGTGAGTCCCAGCCAGCCCCCGCGTAAACGTCCCAGACTGCACGAGTCTCAATCTGCTGCGTATCGACTGCCGCCAACTCCATTGGAAGAGTTGACAGGACTGGGTAAGCGCTGGAGAATAGAAGGGAAAACCCCAGAAACAGAGTGTTTGACAACCAGTCGTCAAGAGATGTTGAAAGAACTTGTAGAGAAACTCAAACCACAACTCCCTAGGATCGGTGCAAGAAGCCTTGATCAGCCGGAAGTACTTCAAGCGTTTCAGGAACTGTTCCATGAAAAGTCCATCAAGGGAATCCAAGTGTGCAAAGGGTCAGACAGAACACTGCCACCTCCTCAAGATCTCATGGCCCAGGAAGCACCCTTTCGAAAAGCCATCATCGTCAGTCGAACCGACGAAAGTATCAAGGTAGAAAAGGACTGGGAAATTTGGAAAGATCTGTCCCAGAGACAGGTAATCAGGCCGGCACACCCAGCCGGGTGAATATAACGATGTTTGCAGCAAACCCAAGTCCAGAAAGCCATGAGGCTCAGCCGCGTCAGCCAGAAATTCATGAAGTCCTCCCGCACCAGGGCGGTGTAGAGACGTCCGCTGATTTGCACGGTGAGCAAAACCCGGAACACAATGTGGCACTCGATAAATCCATAAGCCATAAGTCTAGTGCACTCATTGATGCTGCAAGCAAGTCACATGGGAGTACGTTCACGTCTTTGGCCCCCGAAGAAAGAGCATTTGTGATCAAGTTGCACCAAAACCTGGGACATCCAGCCATGAAAAGCTTGGTGAAGTGCTTCGTCAACAGGGGCATGACGCAAGGATAATCCAGGGTCTACAACATTTGAGATGTTCTGCGTGCCTCTCTCAGCAGAAGCCAAGCATTCAGAAACCAGCAACTCTGAAAGAAGATTTGGATTTCAACGATAAAATTGGTGTAGATGGTGTCACCTTCACAACCAAACAGGGGAATCCAATGCACTTCTACCATGTTATAGACTATGGTACAAGTCACCAAGCCGCGTTCGCAGCCCCCAGCAAAAGCAGTTCCGCCATTGTTGAGACCTTAGTCAATGGTTGGTTTCAGTGGGCCGGACCACCAGCTCATCTCGTGACTGATGCCGGAACTGAATTGACCTCATAGGAATTTGCCGCCATGACCAACCAGTTCAACATCAAACAGCACGCCGCTCCGCCAGGAGCACACTGGCAACTAGGAAAGGTTGAAAGACACGGAGACGTGCTCCAATCCATGTTGTCAAAGTAATTATGAAATAGAACATCCAATCATGTCATGTAAAGACCTGCAAACCGCCCTATCCTACTGCACAGCAGCCAAGAATGCACTAAGCCTGAGAAAGGGATTCTCCCCAGAAATGCTTGTGTTTGGAGTGTTTGGAAAGGCCATCAGATTGCCAGGATCACTGTGTTCCGATTTAGAGCTACCAGCACATTCGATGGCCGACAACACGTGTCAGCAAGGCATTCAGTTCCGAGAGAAGCTAGCCCGGCGAGAAACTGCCAGAAGAGCATTTCACTCAGCCGACAATGATCAGGCACTGAGAAGAGCAATCCTTCGGAGGACACGACCGTCTCGAGGCCATTACGAGCCTGGCACATGGGTGATGTTGTGGAAACAAACCATCAACCAGAAGGGGTGGTATGGTCCAGCAAGAGTCATACAACAAGAAGGTCAAACATGTCACATGGGAAGCATCATCAAAGTAGCTCCAGAGCATGTCCGACTCACGAGTGCAGTAGAAGAAAAACAAATCCCATCAGAAGTCCCTTCTGCCCACCAGAATCAAGGTGTGGTAGAGGAATACGGTAGAAAACAACCTCAGCCAGGTCAGTCCACAAGTCGAAATACCAAGCGATACCAATCCAGCAAGACCAGTCGAGGAAGAATCCAGACCTCCACCAAATGCTTCAGAAGAACAACCTGACTTTGAACCAGGCATTCCAAGCAGTGAAACACCACCGGATGAAATATCCGAAGAGACAACTGTAGACCCAGTAAACATCCCTGCGCCGCTGCGCCGGAAGATGGAGACGATGAACTAGTGTGCGACCAACTGCTATGCATCGATGCCGAACCGGATGCAACGCTGCTCGAAGAACCCATGGGTTGGAAAGCTGAATTCCAGTAACAGAAGACATGATCTATGAATGATTTCCTGTATGTTGCCACTGCATCCAAACGCGATCGATCAGAGGTCAAAGTTCACCTACTGTCCCAAGAAGAACAACAACTATTCAAAGAAGCAAAAGCTAAAGAAATTGGAAATTGGCTCAGCACGGGAACGGTCAGCAAGATCTTGAGGGATAAGCTACGCCCAGAACAAATCCTGAGGTGTCGTTGGATACGCGTATGGAAACCACTAGAAGAACAGCAAGAACAAGAACAGATCGGACCACCTTCGAGTGCAACTCACAAGGCGAAAGCAAGACTCGTAGTCCTTGGTTTCATGGACCCGGAAATGGAGACGATCGCACGTGACAGTCCCACCCTGGGGCGACAATCTCGAATGCTCCTGCTGCAACTGATCTCTTCCATGAAGTGGAATATCCAATCTTTCGATATCAAAGCTGCCTTTTTGCAAAGACACACACAAAAAGGAAGAGTTCTAGGTCTAGGGCCGGTAGAAGAACTCAGGACTGCCTCAAAGATGACTCCCCAAGAAGTCTGCAGACTGGACAAGTCTGCATACGGTCTAATAGATGCCCCGTTCTTATGGTACAAAGAGCTAGACCGATCACTGCAAAGCCTGGGATTCCTTCCAGCACCATTCGACCCATGTGCTTTGTGGGGGCAATGAGTTCTTTGAAGAAAAACTCAACCAGCTAGAAGCAAAATATCCATTTGGAAGTAAACAGCGCAGCCACTTCACTTTCACAGGGATAGAAGTCTCGCAGAAGGCCGGCCAAAGCATTGTTATGTCTCAAGCCAAATATGTCGGTTAAATTGGTTCCATAAGCATGACAGCAAACAGAAGAACATGTACCACGGAACCAATCACAGCAGAAGAAAAGCAGAGCCTAAGAGCACTGACTGGAAGTCTCCAGTTTGCAGCGGTCAACACACGACCAGACCTTTCAAGCCGACTGAGCTATCTTCAAAGCGAGATCAATCGTGCAACAGTCCAGACACTCCATGAGGCCAATCGAATCCTGCACGAAGCCAAGAAGTTGAAAGAGACTGCAATAACCATACAACCAATACCAATCCGTGATCTTCGTTTCATGCTGTTCTCAGATGCATCCTTTGCATCAGCCAAGAACCCAGAGAGTCACACCGGAATATTAATCTTTGCAACCCATCAAGACATTATGAAGAATTATAAGTGTGTGATTAGTCCACTCTCCTGGGGTTGCAAAAAGATACAAAAGGTAGTCACAAGCACCCCGTCCGCAGAAACCACATCGTTGCAGACTAGCCTGGATCAGCTATCATGGATCCGACTCTTTTGGGCATTGGGCACGGCCCTTGAACCCCCAAAAAAATTGGAAACAGCCCCAAAAGGTGTTTCAGATGATCCCAGAACCCTTGTCGTCTACCACGTATCTAGCTCAACAGCTCCCAGGTTCTGTGGCAGTAACAGACTGCAAATAAGTGTATGATTTGGTGACTCGAACCGCTCAACCAAACTGTCAGGAATTTAGAACCCAGCTGCAGGCAAGAGCGATTAAGGATTTGCTGGCTGAAGGAGTGCAGTTGAGATGGGTCCATACGGGCGCTCAGCTGGCCGATGCCCTCACGAAGGTCACGCAGAGCACCTTCTTAAGACATACGCTTGTCCAGGGCAAATACCAACTACATGATGAACTGCAGGTCCTTAAACAGCGTGCCGACAGCAGAACTCGCACGAAATGGCTCGAATCCGGAGCCAATCTTGAAGAAGCACCATGAACATCCTCCTCGTTTGATCAAACTCTCAAAATATTAATTTAGAATAGATTTTTGGGAGTGTGATTTTGCAACCTTTTGAGCAACCAATGGTGCAAGGGTGAGGACATTCGCCATGTCTCTCATATCCTGCCAGCCATTTGGCGCGAGGGCGCAGGGCAGGGTGGGTTTGAGGCCATGAGCGCTTGAGCATCGACACGTGGTCGTGTCAGCTGTGTGGTCACCGCAGTTCGTTCGAAACCAAAGATCTCGAGGCGGAGAGGCTGGAAAAGAATCTTGGGTGTGGTGCGCCCGTGGAATTGGGAAGAGTTGGAGTGAAGAGATTGTTTGTGGTGTTGGCTGCCAGTGTGAAACCCATTTCACATAATACATATATAAATATATGCACATACTAATAGTTGTTCAAAGCTTTAAGCTTCAGTTCTGGCGAAAGCAAACAATATCAATTAACGTAGTGCGTATGGCACTTTGCCAGTGTGCAGGTGGGCAGCTGTAATTTGATGTATAGATTTGTCTGTACAACATAATGTAGGCCTTCTCCCCTGCGTTAAATATCAATTCGAGAGACCTGCATCATAGTCTGCATCACGAAAACTGCTTGCAAGAAGTCCTCAGATGAGCAACATCGAAGCAGAATGCCTGTCTCTTATGTAATGCACGTCACTCTCTGATGTTGGAAGCAGGCAAGATGCATTTACTTGAGCGTAGCATCCCCATGCGCAGAAGGGTTTCAAGCATTCAGCATCTGCTAGGAAGACAGCAGCATCGAGCCACATGACAAGACGCATTCCACCTGTATAGCCTCAGGTTCCGACAAGTCATGGCAAATGCCTAAGGTGTTTACTTTTGCTTTCCTTCAGTGTCTGAGGCAAAGTTTGGTGACCATGGGAATAACTTCGGTCATATAGCTAGAAAAGAGCCCACTGATAAATCTCGGACACCAAGGCTTTCGTGCGGAATCAAAGTAACCCGTTCCCCATGGCACCAACATCTTCAGAGTATTATGCAAGTGTCACAATGAAACCAAAGCCTGGAAGGAAGGGAAAGAGAACCCTTAAATTCTGAATAAGTCTTGATAGAATTCGGGTGGGACTGTTGTAAGAAGTGCAGGTGGAAACGCCTGAGCGTTCCCGGATGCTATTGTCAAGGACTCCATAGGAATCCACAAGATGCTATTGATGGCCTCCAACCTACTAGCGACGGCCTCCAACCTAATAGCGATGGC